GATTTTGCTCTGCCCAGAGAAAAGGACGGGTAACATTCCACTGTTTCTGGGACCTTCTGGATGTTTCATGTCTATAGCTGACAAGTGCCTACCCTGCAGAGCCCTGAGGCTGCTGTGGCTGGGCTAGCCAGTGTCCACCAGTATCCATTCTGTCTTGCTTCCCTAGGCCTCTCACCGAAAGACTACATTTCCCAGCCTCCCTTGCAGCTAGGTATGGTCATGTGACTAAATCCTGACCAGTGAGATGTGGGCATAAGTGAGGTGAGCCACTTCTGGGCCACGTCTTAAGGGAGAGGAGATGGTAGCCTCTGTCCCTGAGTAGAATGCTGGGATCTGGAGCAACCATCTTGATAAGAAGGAGGCTGGGTGTTGAGGAAGGCAGAGCAACAAGGGAGAAGGAAGCTGGGTCCTTAATGATTGTTGAACCATTTTGCTAGTTTTAGACAGTTACATGCACACTCGCACACTCATTTAGATATGCACTCACATACACATATATTCCCACATTTGTACCCATTTACACTCAAACACACCTTCATACAGATACACAATCTTATACACAAATATGCAGTCACACATATATGCACTCATGTTGTTGCTGGGTGCCATCCAGTCAATTCTGACTCATAGTGACCCCATATGACAGAGTAGAACTGCCCCACAGGGTGCTCTTGCCTGTAATTTTTAGAGCCAATAGGTGGGTTCTAACCGTTAACCTTACTAACACTCATATACACCCTCATTCAGACACACATTCACATACATACATTCACTCACACATTCATCACAGACTCATATATATAAACCCATTCATACACTCAAACACACTTTCATAGACACAATCACATATACACATACAGTCACACATGCATTCACATTCACATACACCTCATTCAGAATCACAATCACACACACATACACATAAATATACACACACACTCACACAGTCTCATAAAGACATCATTAAGTACAGACATGCAGTTACATGCAAACTCACATACATATGCACTCATACATACTCGCATACACCCTCCTACAGACATACAATTACATACACACATGCAGGGTGTTGTCGATTGAATTGTGTCCCCCCCAAATAAGTATTGAAGTCCTGGCTCCTGTACTTGTGGATGGGATCCTGTTTGGAAATAAGGGCTCTCTTTTGTTATGTTAATGAGGTCATACCAGAGTAGGGTGGGTCCTAAACCTAATCACTTCTGAGTTATAAAAAGAGCAGAATAAAGAAGCCCTGGTGGTGAAGTTAAGCACTTGGCTGCTAACTGAAAGGTTGGCAGTTTGAACCCACCCAGTGGCTCCCCAGGAGAAAGACCTAGCAATCTGCTTCCATAAAGATCAC